TTTTCCAATATAGAGGACTTGGCATGTGCCTTTGTCGTTCAGCTGTGGAATAAGGTTGATGAATATTTGTATAGTATTGATTTACTTTGATATGATTTTCGTTTGCATTCTCAGTGAAACGTAGGGCGTTAAGCGTGAGCTTTGAAGTTTCTGTAGTAATGGTGGTTACTAGTCTGACGCTCGACCTTCCTTCATTTTGACCAGTCTCACTACGAGTTAAGCGAAATTTAAGAGTGTTGAAAGCATTTATTTCCTGATACGAATTTAATGAATTGATGAAATTTCAGTAGAACTCTTCCTCAGCTGAATACTACTCTACATACACGGATATATATACATACTTTTGAAATTACATTGGGAGATATAAGACTGATAAATAAACAAACTACATTGAATTAGTCATGCAGAAAGAAGACAGGTGCGAATGTGTTTCCAGGTCGTGTTCGAATAGATAAGGGCAGGAAGAGAGAGAGAGAGAGTATGAAAGATCAAAATTAAGATAAAATGCATTACGCTTCAATTACATCACTTAGACAAACAACTAGACATTAGAGAATATAACAAGAATTGCAAACAGAGTAATATCAATCAAAAGAGTTTCGAAGAAACCTGTCTATATTAGTTTGTCGTTCAAGGGGTATTATGTACTGGATTTACTCGAACGAATACTCGATAAAGCTATCAGGAGAAACTTATTATGCTGTGAAATTTGTTATCTTCGATTTTTTTGACATCAAACCTAAATCACCCACGCGCGAATTCCAGGTCTTCTAGTTTCTTCACGTCGGTCGGTCCAGGATATTCCTGTCTCCTCGTTTCCCACTGTCTGACGCATAATCCAGTCAGTCCACTACAATTGGTAATATCGTTGTTCATCGGTGGCACAGTGGTTAGTGCTCTTGCCGACCAGGCACATTGTCTTGGGTTCGATCCCTTGCCGATACACACCTGATATCTATGGTGCTACCGATATTACAAGCTGAAAATTTTATACCTTTACCATAAAATACGGTGTAGAAACAAGCTGTAATGAAAGAAAAATAAATTATAATCACCCTTGTCTGACTCCTATGTTTCGCTCCAAACGCCTCGCTAACTTTTTCGTTAGATTTAAATCATTAATTAAAAAGCTGAACACCTTAGTCAAATTTAATGATTCATTGTTCATGCATAATTACACACACACACACATAAATACACAGGCATCTTTGCACTAACTGATCTATTTTAGGACAAAAGTCAATGCTGCTTCACAAACTTAATCTGACGAAATTAAACTATCGTAACCAGGTTGGCAGTGATTTTGACCGACCAATCAGAATTCAGATGAGAAAAAAGTCGCGAAATCTTAAAAAATATATTTTAAAAAAAACATTGCAAACATGATATTAGACTGGACAATTGTCTCTTTTATCTTGTGAGAATTTCTCCCAGTGACTCCAAGAATAATCTGTAAAGAAATCACACCATGCGCGATAAGTGTATATATCTAGACAACTGTAGACCAAGGCACTTTTGGGTTTAATCGATATATTTGATACTGCTCTTCAAGCTACCCCGTAACTCTAATCCTGCCTTACAGTATAGATTTACAGAAAGTTATACTTGAGGTACAAGTAAAATATACTGCACCCAGTCTTTCCAAATCTATAAAGGCAGGCATGTTTTGGTTTCAAATGACCTTTTTCTAACAACCCCATAAATCTAACTGGTTCTTGAAGGTAAACTTTTGACAGAACTTGACATTGGCTATGGTAGTTTAACTTCACTCTTACATCCTTTTTGTTCAAGGAATAATATAGGTGATTTTGCATTGGTGTTAATCAAGAGAACAGATTAGTTATTCTCGCCCTTGGCCAAGCAAGATCTTGAACGAAATTCAGGCTGATCTTTTAAATCTCTCTCCCTCTTTTTATCACCAGTGTCCATATCTTATTTCAAAGAGTTACTGCTTCTATGTACTGACAGTGTCAACTTTACATTTGAGGGAGACTGCTTTCGCCAGATCGATGGTGTTGCTATGGTAAGCCTCCTAGGTCCATTGTTGAGAACCTAGTGGAGAACGTAATTGAAAATGTTTATTTTTATAAGAGTTATGTGGATGGCATAATAGTCATTTGTGTGATAAACCGACAGACGCCATAGAAATCCTAAATCAGAGCAATAGAGTACAAAACAGTATATCGCTAACATACCATTAAAGAGAATAATGATTGCTTGCCAAGAAGATGGGTCAGTAAAACGATCTGTCAACAGAAAGTCCACATGGATGGGATAGTACTTAAATTATCACAGTTTCTGTCCACTACACTATAAAAAGGCGTTGGTTGAGTGTTTGTTCAAAAGCCTTCACGGTATATGTACTACCGACACACTTGGAGAGGAAACAGAATACCTCATTGAAGTACTGTTAGATAACAATTACCCGCTGAGATTTATTAGGCGTTACGGAAGTGTCAACCATAGAGCTCTACCAATCTAATCAGCTCCCAAAAAAGGATGTTTACATATCCTTGCCGTTCAGGGGTGATCAACAAAGTCTGGTCACTAGACAAAGACTCAAGGCGGCAATTAATAGAACTTATTGTCCAGCTAAACTTATCTTCATAGAGGAAACGAGAACTATGCTGTCCTATAAACCCTCACAGTAGCCGAACGATAACGTCACATCCCATTGTGTTTATCGATTTACATGGATATATGCGGACACACGTACATAGGGAGGACTCATCGGTCTATGCAGTTTAGGGCTACAAAACATATTCCAAAATGGCTGCAACAACAAATAAAATTGCTTGATACAAGTAATCTCGAAAACAGATGTCCAACATCATCTATAGTGAAGCACATTTCAACAATGCCTTTAAGCCCATATATAAAAAAAGGTTGGGTCATATATTTAAATTTGTTGAAGCCTAGGCCATAAAAAGACTCATACCTGTCTGTCTTATGTGTATCCAAAAGTTATTTGTTATCACCTCAAACCTGCCTTGTTAATCCAACTCACAACGAAGGTTCAATTTACTTCATAATATTTTCAACCCCTTCTTTGGTTTGTTTTTTCTCTTTCTTGCCCACACCTTTGCGTCATCTCCTTGTTACCTTGACCTGCACACAGTCTGACCTACATTGCAATGATTCGTGTCTTCTTGTCTTCTATATAACTGTGCATGACAAGTACGTGTGTATGTGCGTGCGTGATCAGAATGTCCGAAATGTGTTGCACAAATACATTACACACGTTTCAGACAAACTACGTCTTCTTATTGTGTCGTCGAAATCTCTCTCTCTCTCTATTCTTGATCGGCCATTTACGCTTCATTTGGTAGCACTACTCACTGTCACGAGTGATAGTAAACGACGTGTTGCTAGGCTTTTATTCGAATACATTAGAATAAAAATGTCCAAATACCAGTCCCTCATAATCGTATATCTTTTGAATAACTTAGCAACACGCCGTTTTAGAGTCAGCCGACATAGAGCTATGAGTGCACTAGTATTTGGACATATTTATTTGATTGGAGGATTTTTTCATACGCTGACATCGTTTAGAGAACCATTGGAAAACCTGCAGGGAGTACTGGACAGCGAGCTGTTTCGTCAACCCAGTCTGAGGCTCTTCAACACTACGCACCCGCTACCAGATCTTGAACCAAACACCTTCTGGTTACGAGACTAGCGACCTCGTAGACCATTCATCAGCCACTGGGATCGGATCCAATGACCAGCCAGCCCATGAATTCCACCCTACTGGTCATGTCTTCCTACTAGAATCCTAGGTTAACTGCTTGAATAGGGCCAGTCGCTAGTGAGCATCACACTGATTAATTATCAAGTATTGATTTTTGAAGAGATTTTGTTTCACTGGTTGAAGGATGTGGCTGGGCGTGGTGGCGTGCGCCTGTAATCTAGCTACTTGGAGGCCAGGGTGCGGAATTTCGCGGGACCGGGAGTTCTGGCATATGGCTGCTCATGTTGATCGGGCGTCCACGCTAAGCACGGCGCCGATATGGATGACCTGTCGGAGGACGGGTTGTCCAGGTCGACTAAGGAGGGGCGCACCGGCCCAGGGGGGAAACCCAGCAGGCAAAAGTCCCCGCGTGGTGCGGTAGCGGGATAGCGCCTGTGAATGATGGCCATGTGACAGCCCGGTCCGCGCGTGGAGACCGCCTCCTCTGTGCGTCGGTGGCACAGTGGTTAGGACTCTCGCCGACCATGCACATAGTCCGGGGTTCGAGCCCGCACCGACGCACACCTGATATCTATGGTCGGCCTGCAAAATTCGGGCTACCGATATCCATGCTGAAAATTCCATACTTGTACCGAAAATACAGTGTGGAATCAAGCTATAAATCAAAACTCAAAATTAAATTTAAAAAATCATGAGTTGACATCGGTTATAATAATGTATTTCAATAGCGCAACAACATGTCGTTCACCTCTGACCCTTCATCACACATTGACACATTTACATAAAAAATATCCCATTTATACGAAAATTCAAGTAATTCGCAATGTATCCTGCTGAATAGATATCGATTTGTGTGAAAAAAAGAAATACTCATTCCCAGTGGAAGTATGTGATAGAGTAGAGTGGTGTAGTAAGCATGGGCATACGACTAAGCCGCTTAAAAAACATAGTTTTAAGTGTGTGTGTGTGTACGAGATACTGGACATGTTTATTCTTGTAATCTAGATCAACACTACAATATAGCTCTCTGTCTCTATGTCTCCTGCATAATTATTTTTAAAATATCGTCATGGCTGACAGAAAAATAAACAAAGCTGAAATTTGATTGGTTGATCGCTGTGCTAACTCTTTCTCTCGCTCTCTCTCTCTCACACGCGCGCGCTGTTGAAATGTTTATTGACCTTTGTAAAACCTTTAGAATTTCTTTTATTGATTTATTTCATTCTAATGAAATTAATTCACAATTATACGGTTTTTTAACAGTTTTGTTTTGTTGTTGTTTTTTGTTTTCCAAAATAACTTTTTTTAGCCATTTCAATTCATCAAGAAAATGATGGTGTGGTTTATAAATGAGGCTGTTTTGTAAGTGAATTTCATGTATATGAATGTGTCTCAGTCTTATTTTTCAGTTGATGGACTTCATTCGTGAAGAATTAACATCAGTCACACAGAGAGAGAGAGAGGGAGAAGTGGACAGCCATCTGTTTCGTCCTAGTTTTGGACTCTTCAACAGTGCACATCCACGACGTTACCAGGGGTTGAACCCTGGAGTTCCAGGTTGTACGACAAGGCTTGTTGACTGTCCAGTCAAGGCACTAAACATCCTCTGTGCAACCAGATAGTATGTAGAGACCTCCACGACTTGAGCATAGCCTGACGCAGCAACTCAATCAGACGTTCCACACTAGACTAGGCTGCTATTGGACAAATTAGGGTTGGAGCCTATGACCAATAACTCACGTTGATATATGGGTATATACACTTCAGTAGGCAGTCGGCCAATCCACGACTCAAAGTTCATCGCAATGCGTAAAAAAGCGGACACTTGAACAGATTTGGCCATGGTATACACCCTAGTCATAATATGCTTTCAGGATATCGATGTTCAAAGCAGTATACAGTTCATACTTTTCATCGACATACCAACTCGAATGATCTTCTGCTCAAAGTTGTGCTCTTTTAATCCTACATACTGGCTTCCCAGATGTACAGAACCCTGGTCTCGAGGCTGCAGCCTAAGTGCAAGTCTATCAGACTAGTGTATATGCAGTCCACGAAGTCAGATACATGTGGGGCAGCCAAATCCGTGAACCCATGTCAAGCCAAACTGGATCTATTCTATGGTTGCATCAAGGGTGTGTAATGCACACAGTTTTTTTTTTATCTTGATCCTTCAGCCACTTGAGCTGGAACTCAATGATCCATAGATCCTAACTTTGTTAATTCGTAATATAGCACTACTTTCAGCAATGCCTTCTATCAAAAAATTCACCTCGTCTTGATGTGGCGCGTGGCCCACTGATCACGACTTCTCAGTACACAGCTTGATTTAAGTAATTTCACATCGGTGCTAATCAGCAGAACAGAATATTACTCATCTTCGCCTTTGACAAGATTTTGATAAGGAATAGACTCTTATCTTTTTTGGATAAATTTTTAAAATTTCTGCCTAGAATTTTATAGCAAAAATTCTCATTCAGACATCTATAAAAAACACAAAATAATCGAGCAAAGAATATCCTTTTCGATAAATTCCTCTTCTGCCTCTACAATTACATATATATATATATATGTTTATGTACATTATTATTATTATTGTATCCTTTAGTTCCTAGAGGAACATAGGGCTTCAGCTGCGCACCTCCATTGCCTTCGGTTTTCTGACAACTTTTTCACCCTTCTCCAGGTCTGTCCACATGCTTTCATCTCCTCCTCGCATGACCTCCTCCAAGTCACCCTTGGACGACCAACTCGCCGCCTCCCTTTCGGGTTCCACTCGAGCGATGGCTTGTCTAGTGATGTCACTTGATGGTTTCCTCAGCGTATGGCTAGCCAATCCATCTCCATTTCTTTCTGCCTATTTGTTTCACAATCGGTTCCTGATTGGTTCGCTCCCAGAGATCCCTGTTGCTGATCTTTTCTGGCCATCTGATCTTGAGTATTGAGCGGAGACAGTTGTTAATGAAGGTTTGAAGTTTGTTTGAGATGCTCTTTATGACTCGCCAAGTCTCTGATCCGTATAGTAGCACTGACTGACTTCACATTGGAGTTGAAAATCCGGATCTTATTTTTGATGCTGAGTGCTGTTGACCTCCACACAGATTTGAGAGTAATGAAAGCTTGTCTTGCTTTTCCGATTCTGGCATTGATGTCCTCGTCAGTTCCGCCTGTAGTTGAATCGATGCTTCCCAGGTAGGTAAAGGAGGTTGTTTCTTTCAGGTTCCTCCCATTTATGCTGATCGTTGTCTGTTGTTGTTGTTGCTGTTGGCTAGGAATCTTCATCATCTCTGTTTTATCTATGTTCACGTGAAGTCCTATCTTTGATGCTTCTTCTGTGAACTTGTTGCTTTTCACTTGCATATCTTCCAGTTTATGGGAAATCAGACATATATCATCGGCGAAATCCAGATCCTCCAAGTCTTTTGTGTCAGTCCATTTTATGCCTGTTCCCTCGTTGGTTGCCGTTGTCTGTCGCATTATCCAGTCAATTGCAATCAGGAAGATCATTGGTGATAGTAGACAGCCTTGCCTCACTCCCGTCCTCACTTCGAAGGCCTCCGTAAGTTTCCCGTTGTGGATTACTTGGCATGCAGAATTGTCGTATAACTGTTGGATGAGATGTATAATTGTTGATGGGACCCCGCATTAGCGAAGTAGTTGCCAAATGACCTCTCGATCGACGCTGTCGAAGGCCTTTTCAAAGTCGATGAAGTTGAACTAGGTGGAGAGGTGACTGCCATTCCAAGCTTTGTTCAATGATGATCCGTAGTGTGTCGATTTGCTCAATACGTGACTTTTTTCTCCTGAATCCAGCTTGTTCCGGTCGGAATTTTTCATCTAGGGCTTGTTTGATTCTCTCCAGGATGATGCGACTTAGTGTCTTGCTTGGAATGGATAGAAGCATAAATCCGCGCCAGTTTTTGCATTGACTTAAGTCTCCTTTCTTTGGCAGTTTGAATAAGTATCCGTTCTTCCAGTCCTCGGGTACTTTGCTCTCTTTCCACACCTTCTCCAGCAGTGGCGTCATCAAGTCCGTTGTTGTCTCTGGGTCTATTTTCAAAGCTTTTGCTGGGATTCCATCTGGTCCCGGTGTTTTCCCAGCTTTAAGCATCTTGATTGCATTCAGGACTTCTGATTTCGTCGGGAGGTCAGTGTTCACTGGTAGTTCTGCTTCCGTTGTTGGTATTGTTGGGCGCGTTGTAGGTGGCGGGCGATTTAGAAGACTATTCTAGATTAGTAGTCAATAACAATATTTGTGTTTTTTGTCTAAATACAATCGACTGGTTAAGTAGGATCAATGGAATTACAGTTCATTAAACATGCTTAAATTATAATAATAATAAAGATATAATAATAGGACATCAACTATGATTAGGATCATTCAAACCTAGATGGTCAAGGTAATGATAATGTGTGAACTAACTTCTTTTGGATGCATAAATTAGGCTTTTAAATATGGATCCCAATGGTCAGTCATCCTCAGGAATATTTAGTAGTCGAACTCTTAAGGCGAAATTGAGATTCGTAGGTATGCGGTAAATGATCCTGAAAGCATGGTTAAGGTCAATCTTGTGTTCTGTATCCACAAGATGAGACAGAATAGCGCTGCGAATAGATTTTTGTTTGTCCTTTGCTTAACCACGCGGGATGATGTTTGGAAATTCGACGAGAAACACGCCTAATTGTACGGCCGATGCAATTAACTGGCTCACTCCGCAGGAGCAATTAAATTGATAGACACACATAGAAGAGGCGAAATTAGGCAGTTTGTCTTTTACTCCCGAACGCTAAATAGGAGTGGTTTTGAAGAAACAGCGTAATTCACCAGTAGCAGGGAATGCTCTTTTTACTGCATTTCTAAGGCTATGTGTTAGTATATCGTTGATGTTGTCCCCAAGGAACTGCATTTGTAACAATAAGACCTTTTTTGGAACTGTTGGCTGCTAAGTGATAATGGTTATCCAGAAAAGTTTATTGATAAGAATATGAATCTAAAATCAAAGCAGCCCAAGGTACGAACATTGGTTAACTTAAAAGGAATACTGATCTGAGTAGATAACCGCCAGAATAACCTTGAAGAAATCAATCAGGCTTTACATGGGTGATAATTAAAGTAATGACGGATAAGTCGAGTTTATGCAAACCTCAGCTTTAGATATCCAAGAGGTGAGATGGCATCAACAACTTTGAAGCATCCTATATTGAGATGAAAACCAGATTTGGCTCCCTAACTCTAAACTTCCCTCAATCTAACCTTGATCTATCTTTAACCAACCTTAATATCTCTTTAATTAGACTAACCTAGGCCTAACCTTTTCCTAGCCTAATAATAATAATAATTTTTCCTTCACGTTCCCCAGTGGAACATAGGGCTTCGAGCTAGTAGCTTGAAGTTTCTGTAGCAGAGTTTATTTTGCAGGATGCGATTGCTAGCCTCATGCCCAACCTTTGCTCTTTAACAGAATTATTTCTGGCTTAGAGAGGTAAAGGTGTGCGTCGGCCAGGGATCGAACCCCGGACCATGTGCATGGTCGGCGAGCGTCCTAACCGCTATACCACCGACGCGGTGGTGTAACCTTAATCTTTGCCTAGCCAGATATCTTGTTTAATATCACAACACTTAACAAATTTTTCTTTCATGAATAGGGTGTAATTTACCTGGTTTTTGATTTTTTTTTTTTTGATTTTTTGATTTTTTTTTGATTTTTGATTTACAGCTTGATTCCACACTGTATTTTTGGTACAAGTATGGAATTTTCAGCATGGATATCGGTAGCCCAAATTTTGCAGGCCGACCATAGATATCAGGTGTGCGCCGGCGTGGGCTCGAACCCCGGACCATGTGCATGGTCGGCGAGAGTCCTAACCACTGTACCACCGACGCACCAACTCAGCATTACCAGCTCACTAATGCCTGCGTGTCTGCTGAATGTCTTAAGTTTAAGTTTTTGCCCGAGTTGTTCCAGATTTAAAGAAAAGAGATTCAACTAAGACACTATTTCGAGTTGTTCGCAACACTAAATATAATATAAACCTAATCTAAGCTTAATCTCAAGCTCCAGCTCTCAGCTCTGAATGACAAGCATTAGGATGAATACGAAGAAATCTATGAGAAAAAATGGGAGTTATTATTGCAACAATTTCAAGTTAGATATCCTTTTTAACATGCTTATTTTTTTACCTCGAGAATATACAAACGGGAATTGATGAGGACATCATCAAAACGCGGATCGGGAGAGCAAGGCAAGTTTTCATTACACTCAATTCTGTGAGGAGATCAACACTCAGCACTACTCAGCATGAAAAATAAGATCCGGATTTTCAACTCCAATTCGACGTCAGTGCAGCATACTATACGGATGAGAGAATAGGCGCCATTCAACGCAGCGTCACGAAGGGCACTTCAAACAAACTACAGACCTTCATCAACAGCTGTCTTCGCTCACTATTTCGCCCAAGATCAGATGGCAACAGGAATCTCTGGGAGAGAAGAAACCAAGCAGGAGCCAGTTGTGCAACAAATATGCGGGAAGAAACAGAGGTGGATTAGCCATACTCTAAGAAAACCATCAAGCGACATCACAGACCATGCTATTGCTAGAGTGGAACCCGACTGAGAAGCAGCGAGTTGGTCATCAGTGAAAAGGGTAACATGGAGAAGGTCATGTGAAGAGGAGATGAAAGCATTTCGGCAGATGTGGAGCTAGGTGAGAACGTTGGCAGAGAACCGAACATAATAGAGATGTGTGGCTGTAGCCCTATGTTCCTCCAGGAATTAAAGGGAAAAATAATAATAATGATAATAATAATGTACATTATTATTCGTTATTACTAGTAGAGAAACAACGTCTTCTGATTGATTGTTTTCTCACTGGAAGTTAATCTGTCATCTCTTCATGTCTGTTTCTTTGAATGTCAGGCCATATATCTGCGGATCGTATCCACCCACGCAAAGTCTGCTGTGATTGGTTTTTGAGTTAGTCTTTGTTCTTGTTTCTTTTCTCTCATGACGAAGATTTTGGGTCGTTAACATTGATGTAAATTACTGTCCACCAATTTTGGGTAGCAGACAGCTCTCACCACACTCTACTTGTGTTGACTTCTCATTTGAACTCTAAGAACTCAATCTTTAAGCTAGTCACAATATGTATACTAGGCTTTATTTTGAAACTTTTGAAAACATTTCTAAAAATATATTGACTTAAAATAATTGATTATTTTTGTGTTGATTGGTTTTACTTTTATTTATTTATTTTATTTTTGTATAGATACATGCTTGGTTTCATAGATGATCTTTTGTCCTACAAAATAGCAATTGGTCAAAGTGAGTAGTGCTCATAATAGTAGTTTATTTTTTTTTTTAAATAAGTATTGAAGCTTATATCACTTAATCTTCATGACTGCGTGATATTCATTTGAAAGGACTGCTGAAACATACTGAACAGTACTGGGATAAACTGTTTAGTCATATAGTTTGAGATTTTTTGAAATGTTGATATAAGAATAGAACTTGTGCACTACAGTAGTAGAGTATAATTCCCTTACATAATATCACATCAAGGTATTACTCACACACAACTTTCTAACTTCGTTCATAAAATTCCATTATTTTTCATCGCTTCACCTGATGATTGGTAATAGTATTTTCCATATTTCTGGTATGACTGGGGATGAGTCACTTCTATTGATCACATGTTGCGCGTAGATTATTCAATGAACAAAGACTCAGTAATCAATCCCTCTGTCTTCACCTATCTATATTATTTCTTAGAATTTCGGTTCTGTCCCACCCGTCCTATTGTGTGGTTGTGTGTTAATGCATACAGTGCAATTTCTAAGTTTCTTTTTTTTAATTACTTATCTTCTCGGGGTCAACCATTCTTACCTTAACTAAATTTTTATGTTCTGACAATATGACTATCGTCGACCTACTAGTTTGATCTATGCAGGTGACCATACTCACAGTCATTGCAAGATATTTTATGAATTATATTATTATGTCTTATTGCGACAACCTACACGGTCTATCAACCTACAGAGCTTTTCTTACCTGAGTGAGTTTATAGGTTTAAATGCCACTCTAATTCCTGCTTTATTGAGAATCCTACGTCAACTGGGTCCTGTAGGTTAAAGGATCCTGTCGGTGAACCCAATTAGACAAAATAATATAATTTACAAAATACCTTGCAATGACTGGGAGTGAGGACAATTACATACGTCAAAATAGTAGATCAGGAGTAGTCAGATTACCTGTCAGAACATAAGAATTCGGTTATGGTTAGAATGATTGATCCAACGAAAATAAGTATTTTAGAAAACAGCTCAGCACTACAGTGCACTGCATACATTAATACACAACCATACAACAGGGCAGGTTGGGCAGATTGAAAATTCTAAAGAGTAATATAAATAGGTGGAGAGAGACGGATTGATCAGTAAATCCTTGTTCATCGAATAATCTACAAGCAACATATGCGTTAGGAATAACTCATCCCCTCTCATACCGGAAATATGGAAAATACTATTACCAATCATCAGGTGAAGCGATGAAAAATAATGGGATTATATAAATGAAATTAGAAAGTTGTATGAGTAATGCCTTGATATGACATTATGAGCAGTGATAAATTGCGCTTGAAATGTGGTCATCATTAGTAAATATTACTGTATAACACTACACTACGTGAGTCTTTGTAAATGCTCAGTCACAATCCAGCAACCATCCAGTAATGAATGAGACCAGGATTTTACCATTCAACCAAACACCTTGAGTATCCAATGAGAAATAGTTCCTAATTTTTATTTTTCTAGCAATTTATCACATTCTGATTGTATACTAAATAATAGTCATGTGTTATGTGTCTAATTCTTTGTTTTTGATGCAGACTGAATTCTGTCAGTTAAATTGGCTTTCGTCAAGAACCAGCATCATTTAGAGATGGATCATTGAATATTGGACAGCCAACTGTTTCGTCCTAGTTTGGCACTGTTTAGCAGTGTGCACTCATGACCACCAGTCCTTGTGGAATCGAGCTCCTTGTTATGAGACTTGACTTGTTGACCATTCGGTCACTTGTATTGGAATTCAGCGATGCGTGAATTCTAAATTCTTCACTTCATGATGTGGTGTTGGTAGGAGATATTTTCCTGAGAAATTATGTCTTTAAACTATAGAGTGGCAATGAGTTAAGAATAAAAATATAATCAGCTCGTGTATCGTTTACCTCAGTCAGACTAACGACACATGAAAACGTTAATCCATTTCTAGGTAAGACAGCGCTCAACCATCTTGTATCTAGACCGACCCAGATCAAAGAAAATTCATCAAATCACATATTTTTATTTCAAATTACAAATTTTCAACTATTCAGTCAATCAGTAGCACATTCCATTGCACTATTTCACCTGCTTTATTGATTGTTATGTATAGTATTAGGCAGATCACAGTGTGATCTAAATATTTTTTGGATTTTCCAAGGAAACTAATGATTTGATTGCATGGAGGATTTCATCATGAGCTGACATCAGTTAGAGAACCGCCTGCAAACCTGGAAGTGCTGGACTCTTCACTGGTATGCACCAAAACCAGGACGAAATAGCAATGCAGTAATCTCAGGTTTTCCAGTGGTTCTCTAACTGATGTCAGCTCATGATGAAATCCTCCATGCAATCAAACAAAAAAATCCATACAAAACCAATACCTGAAAACTAATGTTTAGCAATAAAGAATTTGATTTGTTAGTACTCTGAATGAAGTTGTTATTTCGGGATAAAATGTACACTAAAACCGATGGAAAGTCTAAGAACCCTTATACCCACTTTCTTAAAAATAATTATACCATCTCGGTTACACTTTTCCATGAGTGCAAATAAGAATGAAACTCCATGTAAATTTATCAATCATCTAGCAGATACTTAAATATTTGCAAGTAGTATAATTTATATATATATAAATTATATGAGCAAATGTGCCTAACGAGTTAATTTTCGCACTATATATTCCCACAGACTTTGTGTAAGTATATTTATGAAAGACTTCTTTACATTTGTATGTCAGTCCTACAACACTCACTTTGAATAACTAAGCAACCATGAGATCTGTTCAACTGTCTTAATGTCTCCATACAATCGAATTAAATGAGTTACTAAATAAAGAAATATTTCTCTCCGAAAATTTCTCTCATAGGATAATATATCTTAATCAACATGACAAAAAAGACATTATGATAAAGATAATAAACGATAGATTACCTGAGAAATAAAAAGAAAAGAAAAAAAGCCAAACAAAGTAATGATTTTATCAATAAATAATCAAAGTTACCATGGTAACAGTTAGTTGCATGTGTGTGTGTGTGTTATAGAAAGATAACAATAAATTTCATTGTAACATATTGCTTAATCACTGTCTGAAGGGTGAAGTTGATCATTTGTAAGCGAGGCAGTCATTTCACTACAATCACTATAGCTAGTGAGATGGTGAACTGTTAGGCGTAGGGTGTTGGTCAAGAGAGAGGGGTAGGGAGGGGTTCGGGTTAGTCAACCGATATGTTGGTGAAGCTAACTCAACTGAGATGATGTTCCACATACCAAGCCATCATGCTAGAAAAGACGTAAGAGTGGTCAAATGAAAACCTGATATCAATCCTTGAAGCTTATGTCAGTTGTTTTATTTTTTGAGCCAAGTAGAAAGGTGTAGACGGACTATCTCGCTAGGGTCCTAGGGATTATTACTATTATATGCTTTAATTCCTAGAGGAACATAGGGCTTCAGCCGCGCGTCTCCATTGCCTTCGGTTTTCAGCCAACTTTTTCACCTGGCTCCAAGTCTGCCCACACACCTTCATCTCTTCTTCACATGACCTGCAATGACGACCAACTCGCCGCTTCCCTTTCGGGTACCCCTCGAGCGATGACTTGTCTAGTGATGTCACTTGATGGTTTCCTCAGAGTATGTCCAATCCAATCCACTACCATTTATTCATGCCTGTTTGTTCCACTATCGGTTCTTGGTTGGTTCGCTCTCAGAGATCACTCCCTGTCGATGACCTTTTCTGGCCATCTGATCTTGAGTAGTATTGAGCGAAGACAGCTGTTGATGAAGGTCTGTAGTTTGTTTGAGGCGCTCTTCATGACACGCCAAGTCTCTGATCCGTATAGTAAGTAGCACTGACTGACTTCACATTGGAGTTAAAAATCCGGATCTTATTTTTGATGATGAGAAGTGCTGTCGACGTCCACACAGACTTGAGAGTAATGAAAGCTTGTCTTGCTTTCCCGATCCGCGCTTTGATATCCTCGTCAGTTCCGTTCTCCTGTAGTTGAATCGATGCTTCCCAGGTAGATAGGTAAAGGAGGTTGTTTCTATCAGGTTCCTCCCATTTATGCTGATCGTTGTCTGTTGTTGTTGTTGCTGTTGGCCAGGAATCTTCATCACCTCTGTTTTTTCTATGTTCACGTGAAGTCCTATCTTCTCTGGATGCATCTTCTACCAACTTGTTGCTTTTCACTTGCATATTTTCCAATTTGTGGGAAATCAGACATACACCATCATCGACGAAGTCCAGATCCTCCTAGTTCGTTTTTTGTGTGGGTCCATTTTATGCCTGTTTCCTCGGAGCCCGTAGCTGTCTTTCGCATTATCCAATCTACTGCTATCAGGAAAGTCATTGGCGATAGTAGGCAGCGAGCTTGTCATACTGCCGTCTTCACTTCTTAGAAAGATTCCGTAATTTTCCTGTTGTGGATCACTTGGCATGCAGAATTGTCGTACAACTGTTGGATGAGATGTATAATTGTTGATGGGACCCCGCATTAGCGAAGTAGTTGCCAAATGACCTCTCGATCGACGCCGCGCTATCAAAGGCCTTTTCAAAGTCGATGAAGTTGAACGAGGTGGAGAGGTGATTGCCATTCCAAGCTCTGTTCAACGATGATCCTTAGTGTGTCGATTTGATCAATACATGACTTGTTTCTCCTTAGTCCAGCCTGTTCCGGTCGAAGTTTTTCATCCAGGGCTTGTTTGATTCTCTCCAGGATGATGCGACTTAGTATCTTGCTTGGGATGAACAGGAGCATAAATCCGCGCCAGTTTTTACATTGACTTAAGTCTCCTTTCTTTGGCAGTTTGAATAAGTATCCGTTCTTCCAATCCTCGGGTACTTTGCCCTCTTTCCACACCTTCTCCAGCAGTGGCGTCATCAAGTCCGCTGTTGTCTCTGGGTCTATTTTCAAAGCTTTTGCTGGGATTCCATCTGGTCCCGGTGTTTTCCCAGCTTTAAGCATCTTGATTGCATTCCGGACTTCTGATTTCGTCGGGGGGTCAGT